TGGAGAATCCCATGGGCAGTGGAGCCTGGTGGGCTACAGTCCATGGCCCACGCTATAGGGTCGGACACAACTGAGCAACTAACACTTTCACTTCATAAGTGAGTGAAGAAGTGAACGAAGAATATGAGTGAATCACTGCATATTGATAAATGATGAACATATCTGTGGATGGCTGGATGGAGGGTGGACAGTGAGTCAACGAATGAATGGACGAATGAATGAATGAACTTTCATCGCCAGGCAGAGCCATCCTCTCTGAGTGGGGAGTGAGTCAGTTCCATGGACCGTCCACATCAGAGGGTCCAGCAAGGTCTAGACCGAAGAACACAGGTCCAGGCACAGCTCCGGGGAGGCAAGTACTTCCTCCCCCTCTTGTCCTATTTACTTTCCTGACAGTAAAAGCCCCCTCCCCTCAACCCCCAAAGCCCACCCTGAGTCCAAGCCCTGCTTCCCCCTTGAACACCCTCATCGCCCCAGATGACTGGAGAAGCCCCTTCCTCCGTCTGCTCTCCACACCCAACCAAAGGCGCTTCCGCAGGGGTTCTCACCCCACCCCTGCACAGCACAGTCACCCGGGGAACTTTTTTTTTAAATACCAGTGCCTGGGCCCACTTTCAAAGTTTGGCTTCATTTTGGCTCAGCTGTTAGAAGTTCGGTTTTATTTTAAACCCCGCAAATGATGCTAATGTGAAGACTGTGGTGAGAACCGCTGTGTTAGAGCCGACGCACCTCTGACCCCCAGACATCAATGGAGGGGCTTCCCTGGTGGTCCAGCGGTTAAGACTGAGTGCTTCCACTTCAGGGGGCACGGGTTCGATCCCTGGTCGGGGAACTAAGACCCTGCATGCTGCACCATGTAGGCAAAACATTGAAAATATATTCAAAATAGGGGTGGAATGAAATGGAATGCGATGAGATAGGACAGAATCCCAAAGACAGCTCAACCATGAAGAACCTCCTTATCATGGACCAGGGGGAACCCTCAGACCACTTCCTCTGCCTCCTCCTCAGCTCCCTAACTTCACCTCCTACCACCATCCCCCAACCCACCTTCCTTCCCTCCCTCAAACACCTAAGCCTGTTCCCACCTCAGGGCCTTTGCACGTGCTGACAGCTGCCTGGTCAGCTGTTTCCCCACATGGAGGGCTCCTCTTTTGGGTCTCTGCACAAATGCCACCTCCCCCCAGAGGCCCTTCCTGACTGTCCTTCCGAGAGTAGCCCCTCCCAGCACCTTCCATCTCATGACCCTGTTTTCTTCACCGTGTGAGTTTCTCACATGCGCTGCTGGTTCACACGTGCGCCGTCGGCTTCCATGTAACGGCAGGGATCTTGTCATCCACGCCCACAGATATGTTCTCAGACCCCAACACAGTTTTCGGCAGGTAACAGGTGTTTGGTAAGTGTTTATTGAATGAATGAGATTCTTTACAACTATGTAGTCAGTTCTTTGAGAACACACGTGCTCTCTCTTTGTAATTATTCGTTTTCCCCATAGCTGGGTTTCTGGCACTGGGCACTTTAAAAGGTAGGACTAGATCTTTCTTTTTGGGGGGTCGTCTCATGCCCTTTAGAAGTTGATCAGCGGCCCTGACCTCCACCCACTGGAGGCCAGTAGCACCAGTACCCAGTAATGACAACCAGAACTGTCTCCAGACACCCCCAAAGGCCCCAAGTGGAGAGGGAGCGGCGAATCTCCCGCAGTTAAGAACCCCTGCCCTACAGTGTTTAACCCACTGAATGGCTGAGAACAAATATCCTTGGTCTGATTTGAATATCAAGTCCAGCCTCTGGTGCAGTTCCCTGATATGACCAGCAGGTGGCAGCAGAGACCGCCCTCTCACCATCACAGTTTGCTCTCGCTTTTTGAAAATTTTTTCATCTTTCTCCCCAGACTAGAACCTGATTTTTCGAAATGCACTCACCCACTGCCACGGGGCCTTATGATCAATCCACTTTATTTGCACTTTTTCAGACTAGACAGAAAGGGAAGCAGCAGCAGTGATTTCAACCCAGAAGTACATTGGAATCAGGTAGATGTGAATTTCAGTCCCAATTGTACCCCCTTTCTCTCCTTAGCTCGGGGGTTTCCCTGGTAGCTCAGCTGGTAAAGAATCCGCCTGCAATGCAGGAGACCCAAGTTCAGTTCCTGGCTTGGGAAGATCCGCTGGAGAAGGGATAGGCTACCCACTCCAGTATTCTTGGGTTTCCCTGGTGGTTCAGACTAGACAGAAAGGGAAGCAGCAGCAGTGATTTCAACCCAGAAGTACATTGGAATCAGGTAGATGTGAATTTCAGTCCCAATTGTACCCCCTTTCTCTCCTTAGCTCGGGGGCTTCCCTGGTAGCTCAGCTGGTAAAGAATCCACCTGCAATGCAGGAGACCCAAGTTCAGTTCCTCGGTTGGGAAGATCCGCTGGAGAAGGGATAGGCTACCCACTCCAGTATTCTTGGGTTTCCCTGGTGGCTAGGGAGACCTGGGTTCGATCCCTGGGTCGGGATGAATCCCCTGGAGGAGGGAAAGGCTACCCACTCCAGTATTCTGGCCTGGAGAATTCCATGAACTGTATAGTCCATGGGGTCACAACGAGTCGGACATGACGCATGACCTGCACTCTCTCCTTAGCTTAGTCCATCTGTATCTCAGTTCTGACCTGTACGCACTTTGCACATCTACATAGTCATCACCAACAGCCATATATTTCACCTGCCTCTATCCTCAACCATGTGGCAACTAAGAGAGCAAGGGCTCGCTCTGGTGGGGTCACCGCCCCTAGCTCCTAGCATAAACGGCCGGCCCTCGGAGGTTTGTTGAATGACTGATTGATGGGTCCACTAGACAATGCAGGTGCATAGTAAACGATGACTTAATGGGTGTCAGCCGTGATGATGACCAGGCCCTACTAAGGATGCTGACTTCATGATGATGGGCATGCTACGGTGAGGGGGAGGATGGCACAATGAAGGCAGTGACGTCATGGCAAAAGGAATGATGTCATGGTGAGGATGACGATGTTATGCAGTTTATCTTAATGTTCTCATCTGGTCCACACCAGGGGTCCCCAAACCTGAACCATCTGCCCTTCCTGAGGAGTTTCTCTAACAGGTATTTTATTTTGTTTTTAACCATGCCATGCAGCAGGTGGGATCTTAGTTCCAAGACCAGGGATCGAACCCGCACCCCCTGCGTTGGAAGCACAGTGTCTTACTGGATCGCAAGGGAAGTCCTTCCTGGGGAGTATCTTAAACCTGCATCTCCCCAGGCCCTCCGCACATCTCATGACTCAGAATCTTACCGGAGCAGGTTCTCAACCTTAACTGATGTTGAGTCATCAGAAGAGGTCTTAACAATCATCAATGCCTGGGCTGCCCCCCTGGAGACCATCAGCGCAGAGGTTCAGCCCCGGGATCAGGGGGTTAAGATGCCCTCATGATGCTAATGGGCAGCAAGGCAACAGCCAGCCCTGACACTTAACAAACTCTCCAGGTCAGTGTCAAACAAAGGGTGGTCCCAGCCCAGGAGTGTCTGCATCACCTGGAAACTGCTTCGAAATGAGCCCCACCCAGACCCACCGACTCAGAGACCCTGGCCAAGTAGGTCTGGACTCCCAGTGCGCTGACTTGGGAGCAGCACTGCCCCAGGGGAGTTCAGACACGCAGCCACTCTGGGGGCCCCCATCCCCATGGGCCAGAATATCAGGATGAAAGAGGGATGGAATTTTCTGGAGGAGGGAGGAAGAGTTATGATTAGTCCCCAGATATCGCCCTAGCCATTGACCAACTCCTCGGAGACCTCTCAGCTCCCTATTCCAGACTGAACCTCCCCGCCACACGAGAAAAAGCCAAACTACAGTGATTTTCACCCCAAAGGAGCCGAGTCTTCTGTGAAGAGCGTTCAGCACCAATGGGGCCACGGAGGTGAGCACAGCCTCCCAGCCAGACCCACTGGGGCCACGCCAAGAAAACGCCTTCCACCTCCAGTCACAGAACTGCTGTGGGGTGTTGTTATTTCACAGAAGAGCTGTCATACGTCCCCAGGACCTGGCCTGTGGCCGCAGACCTCCCATGCTTGCAGAAGCAACCCACAATCCCCACTGCTTTAGAGGAGACTCTGTGTGTGTGTGTGTGTGTGCATGCATGCCAAGTCACTTCAGTCGTGTCTGACTCTTTGCGACCCTATGGACTGTAGCCCACCTGGCTCCTCTGTCCATGGGATTCTCCAGGCAAGAATACTGGAGTGGGTTGCCATGCCCTCCTCCAGGAGATCTCCCTGACTCAGGGATGGAACCCAGGTCTCCCGAATTGCAGGCAGGAGAATCATCATACCAATGAAACCTGTTCTGCTGAAGGCTCAGGATGGGACCAGGTGAGCATGAGCCTGGCTGGGGTAGGTGAGGCAGGACACGTCCACCATCTGGATGTCGAGGAGCCCGTGTCTTTGCGGTCTTCCCCCCGGTTTCCCACGGGGCCTCCTGGCTGGTCCCAGGTCACGGGGAAGCCCGAAGCCCAGTGTCTGAGATGCAGCAACCTCCACACACACGATCCAGGTCGCAGCCAGTCAGCCTGAACCGCCCAGAAAAGCTGCGATGTCGGAGAATATGCCTCTAGCTCACTGTGTGTTTTTTCAACACTTACCTAACCTCTCTGGTCCTCCATTTCCTTAACAGAGAAGAGAGACTCATCCAAAGGGCAGGTGTGAGGATGCAGTGAAACCAGGGAAGTGCACGGAGGCTGCAGTGATGCAGGGGGCGCTTTTGTGGTCTCACGGGTTTGGGCTCCTCCAGAGTCCACAGACACACAGGTGCCTGGACACAGCATCCCCCACACCAGGCAGCACTAACGTGACGCCAGACGCGGGGCTCAGCCCACAGCGGCTCTTTGGTGGTAGCCTCAGACCAGGAGGGAGCCGCAGCCAGCCAGGACGGTGTCCCTGAGCACCGGACCCTCCAGTCCAAGCCGCACCCTCCGCCCTCGAGCCGGAGCCGCCCCCCGCCCCACCCCCGTTCAGATGGCCTGGTCCTGCCGCCGCCTCAGGCTAAGCACGCGGGCCGCCACCAGGAAGGTGGCCCCGGTGAGCAGCTCGGCAACACAGCTGACCCAGCCCAGGGCCAGGGACCAGCCGAAGCGGATGTCCACCTGGTCCAGCAGAGTCTTCTCCTGCAGGAGACACAGCGCCTCCTGGAAGGCCGCGGCCGAGTAGGCGATGTAGACGCTGATGCCGGCGAGGGTCACCAGGGCTGCAGTGGGGACAGAGGAGAGCAGATGGACCCCCCCACACCCAGCCCCACCCCTCCTTCCCACTGCGGCCTTTCCCCACCCAGGGATGGAACCTGCATCTCCCTCAAATTGGCAGGCGGATTCTTTACCACTGAGCCCCCTGGGAAGCCCCCATCCATCTCAGCTCCTGTCAATTCCCGGACCTCCCCGCCCCGCCCGCCCAGAGCTGGCCAAACCACCCCCTCCCACGGTTTCACAGCACCTCATGGCGCTCCATCACTGCCCAGGTCAGAACTGGAATTTTGCATGTTTATGAACCAGCTAATGTCCATCTGCCCTGAGTGAGTCCCAAGGGGTCCGCGCTGGATTCCCCAGCACCCAGAACAGCAGCCTGCACACGGGCAGGTCCCCACCCCCATGTGATTAGGACCCGCTGTCCAGTCGCGTCGCTGGCCCCGGGTAGCTGTTTAAACACATTAACCTCAATCTACATCTCGGCTCCACGTTGGCACCTGCCACGTGTCAAGTGCTCATTGCCTCGTTTCGTGGCAAATCAGAGATGGAGACTTCTCCTGGGGAGGCGCATTTGGAGAATTCATCACTGGGCAAACTATCAAGGCCGATATTCTTAATAATATTACAGTGGATGGGAGGGAGGCTTGTGGTATTCTCACCTCCGGGCACTGCTTTTGCTGTTCCCTCCATGGATTCCGAGTGTGTGTGTCACCCCTGTTCCTGTCTTGTGTTTGGGTTTATGTGATGGTGCAGGGTGTTTAGCTGCAGTGTGCAGGGTCTAGTTTGCTGAGCAGGGGCAGAAGGCATCTCCCCTGTATGGAGAGCATGAAGTCTCAGCCGCTGGACCACCAGGGAAGTCCCTGTTCTTGTTCTTTTTTTAAGGACCATTTCAGATGACCCAGGAAAATTCCCTACTGGCCCAGTGGTTAGGACTCTGCACTTTCACTGCCAAGGGCTCAGATTCAATCCTTAGTCAGGGAACGAAGACCCCACAAGCCATGCAGCATGGCCAGTAAATGAGTAAATAAGCAGGAGTCTATAAAACTACCAGCTAAGTGCTAGATCCCATCTTTGAAACCCAGCCAATGCCGACTTGCCTGATTTTAATCAATCAAAGCAAAGCAATGTCTATCAGGATGAAAAGTGTGCATGAGAGAGCGCATCTCCCGCCAGCCTGTGACCCTGACCCCAAAGCGCTCAGGACTCAGCTTCTTTTGTGAAACAGTGAAAACGATTCTCAGAACCTGCTCTCACCCCCAGGCTTCTCTCCTGGGACCTCAGACCCAGGGACCCCGGGCAGGAAACCCGTTTACCGCTTCCGGCTAGGAGATCACAGCGGGGCAAACCAAGCCCCAGAGGCGATGCGGTCTTCCCCACCCTCCTTCCTTCTGGGGGACCGTGTGCGGCCCCTCCTGGCACCCGGGCCCCATGCCGGGCAGGCACCTACCTCCAAAGAAGAAGAGGGTCCCTGTGAGCACAAGGAGGCAGGAGGCTCGCAGGAGGAAGCTCAGAAAGCCCGTCATGCCCCCGAAAACCATAAGGATCAGGCTGAGCGGCAGCAGAATCACGAACGTCCCGTGCATGGCTTAGGGGAGACAGAAAGAGGCAGTTACTAACATGCTTCAATCAATCAGCAAACACCCACAGAGCACTTCCTGTGACCAGCCAAACGCTGGGGGGAGGCGGGGAAATCGCCACTACTACTGCCGATAGTGATGATGATATGGGCTTCCTGGTGGCTCAGGGGTAAAGAATCTGCCTGCTAATGTGGGAGACACAGGTTTGATCCCTGATCTGGGAAGGTCCTACATGTGCTACCACTATTGAGCCTGTGCTCTGGAGCCCATGCTCTCAAACAAGAGGAGCCCTGGAACCACAACTAGAGAAAAGTCCGAGCAGCCACGAAGACCCGGCACAGCCTAAATAACAAAATTATAAAGAATAGTCATGATAATAATACGATTAATGTGCTGCTGCTAAGTCGCTTCAGTCGTGTCAGACTCTTTGCAACCCTATGGACTGTAGCCCCCCAGGCTCCTCTGTCCTTGGGATTCTCCAGGCAAGAATACTGGAGTGGGTTGCCATGCCCTCCTCCAGGGCATCTCCTGACCCAAGGATCGAACCTGCATCTCTTATGTCTCCTGCACTGACAGGCGGGTTCTTTACCACTAGCGCCACCTGGGAAGCCATTAATATGATTAATAGCCACGGTTATCGAAGCTCAGATATGCCAGGCTTTCTGCTGCGTAAGTACTATCTCATTTAAATCCCATGCACCCCATAAGTAAGTATTGTCCTTGATCTTCGCTTATTCACTCAGCACACGTTATCGAGTACGTGCTGGGTGCCACGCTCTGTTCCTAGATTGGCAGATGCATAGGCAAATTCACCAAGACTTTTGCCGTGTGGGATCAGCAGTGAACAAGTAAGTGACGAAGTTGAGAAATGGTGACTAGTGCATGGGGAACGGCGTGAACAACTCTGAGAAGCGGGCAGGGGAGTGGCTCTACTGAGGAAGTGACGTCAGAGCAAAGACCTGAAGGAAGGGGGCAGGGCAGCGGCTCTACTGAGGAAGTGACGTCAGAGCAAAGCCCTGAAGGAAGGGGGCAGGACAGCGGCTCTACTGAGGAAGTGACGTCAGAGCAAAGACCTGAAGGAAGGGGGCAGGACAGCGGCTCTACTGAGGAAGTGACGTCAGAGCAAAGACCTGAAGTAGGTGAGGGAGGCAGCCGTGTAGGAGGGGCAAGAACTGAGGGACCACAGGGAGGATGGAGCAGGGGGGTCAGAGATGGGAGGGGGTGTGCCCGCTGGGGCCTCCTCCGGAAGAGCCACGACGACGGTGGCTGCGGGTGAGGGAGAATGAGGACGTGGGGAGGGGAGAGCGTTCACAGCAGCTCGCATGGGGCTCGGGGCTCCGGAGCCATCGGGAAGATGTTTAATTTCTCTCCGAATGAGAGGGCTTCCCTGGTGGCTTAGACGGTAAAGAATCCGCCTGCAATGCGGGAGACCTGGGTTCCGTCCCCGGGTTGGGAAGATCCCCTGGAGGAGGGCATGGCCACCCACTCCACTATTCTTGCCTGGACAATCCCATGGACAGAGCAGCCTGGCGGGCTACAGTCCATGGGTTCACACAGAGCTGGACACGACTGAGCGACTAAGCGCAGCGCTGAGTGAGACGGAGGCCACCAGACGGTCTTGAGGCCTAAGAGACACGGAGTTTAACTTCAGTGTCTACAGGTCGCTCTGGTCTCTATATTGAGAGTAGCCAGCAGAGGGGTGTAGTGGGTTGAAAGACGGCTCCCAAGTTCACGTCCAGACTTCATTTTCTTAGGCTCCAAAATCACTGCAGGTGGTGACTGCAGCCGTGAACCTAAAAGACGCTTGCTCCTTGGAAGCAAAGCTATGACCAACCTAGACAGCGATTTAAAAAGCAGAGACATCACTTTGCTGACAAAGGTCCGAATAGTCAAGGCTGTGGTTTTTCCGGTAGTCATGTATGGATGTGAGGGTTGGACCAGCAGAGAACACCGCCAGAGAAGATGCAGGAGTTCACACCCGGGAGGGTCTGCCCCAGCCATGCCCCCCACTCCCCTTCCAGCCACTGGAGGCTGAAGAGTGACAGGTAGTGTGTGGGGGGGAGGGGAGGGCAGGGACTGAGCAGGAGAGAGGAGGGGGAAGCCAGAGAAAGAACCACTGGCAAAAGTGCCACCAGCATCCATCCCCTCCCCCTTCTCTGTCCCTAAACGGTATGTCTTTTGTGAGTCGCTTCATTCCTCAGAAGCTCCGCTTTCACGTCTCTGACATGGACGGTGCGCTGTATTACCATAAGGACAATGTGCGTGGAGGAAATGCAGAAGCCCATAGAGCCCGGGCTAAATAACACCATGACCCCACCAACCATAAAGATGATGAAGGTAATCATCCGGTCTGCCTTCCCCTGTGATCACACCCCTTGGTCTGCAAGCCCCTAAATGCCACCAGCCTTGGCAAGTCAAGGAGACAAGGCTCATCTCCTTCCTGGGGCTGTCACACGACAAAACGTGATTCCAGAGGACGGGGACCTGGGGTCTTTCCTCCTTCACTCCCTCCTTCTTTTCCTTCCTTTCTTTCTCAAGGAAAGATCTTTGGCAAGGAACCACAACAGCTGGTGTGAAAACTGGGTTCTGCTAAGGCCTGTCAGCTGCATGGCACTGCCTCCAGACGCTGGCTGAGAAATGAAATCATTTCTCATTTAGAAATTAATGAGGTTTCCCGGAGTTGGTTCGTCCCCGCAGCCCCACGTGTGAGCTCCCCAGACACGCTGCCGGCTGAGTTCCTATACATGTTCAATTAAATATCTGGACGAGAACAGGGCTCCCCCTGGGAGAGTTATAATATTTCCTGCTTAAATTTTGGTTTAGTACTTTTTTTTCTATGTGCCTTGGTCTTTTGTTAGTTTTTGATTTTCAGGACTGCTGTCTGGGGACATAAATATTGATTCTGAGTTCTGTTCTACTTGGAAAGGTCCCCATCTCCAGGTTCATCTCATTCGGAAACAAATGTCTATGGGCCCCACAGAGCCTCCCCAGGCTCTGTCAGCAGGGGACAAGGTCTCTGGCCTCACGGACGTCACAGTCCAGGAAGGAGACAGACTCTCAGGAAAATAAAGGGGATAATTACAGACTGAGTGTCACAAAGGACATGAGCGTGATGATAAGGAAAAAACAAGGTGGCCACGTCTATAGCTGAGACGGCTATTTTAATTTCCTAGAGCTGACATCATAAATTACTACAAACTAGGTGTCACGTATGGATGTGAGAGTTGGACCATAAAGAAGGCTGAGCACTGAAGAATTGATGCTTTCAAACTGTGGTACTGGAGAAGACTCTTGAGAGTCCCTTGGACAGCAAGGAGATCCAACCAGTCCATCCTAAAGGAAATCAACCCTGAATATTCATTGGAAGGACTGAAGCTGAAGCTCCAATACTTTGGCCACCTGATGCAAAGAGCTGATTCGTTGGAACAGACCCTGATGCTGGGAAAGATTGAAGGCAAAAGGAGAAGGGGGCGGCAGGGGATGAGATGGTTAGATAGCATTACCGACTCAATGGATATGAGTTCGAGCAAACTCTGGAAGATAGTGAAGGACAGAGGAGCCTGGCGTGCCGCCGACCATGGGGTCGAAGAGTCAGATATGACTTAGAAACTGAGCAACAATAGCACATGTCTTAAAAGCAGGAGGAATTTATTCTTTCACATCAAGGTGTCAGCAGGAACTTGGTCCCTGCAGAGGCTCCAGGGGAGACACCTTCCTGCCTCTTCCAACCTCCAGTGGTTGCTGGCAAGGCTTGGCATTCCTTGGCTGGTGGCAGCATCCTTCTGATGCCCACCTCCATCTTCCTAGGACCTTCTCTTCTCTCCTCTGCAATTCTCCTTTTCTTATGAGGACACTTGTCATAGGATGTAGGTTTAGTCCACAATGATCTTGAGAGCCTTAACTATAGCAGCAAAGATACTTTTTCCAAATGAGGTCCCATTCCTGGGTACTGGACCCTGTTAGGACATGGACACATTTTTCTGGAGGGTGATACCCTTCAATCCACTACAGTGTTGGGACTTCCCCGGTGGTCCAGTGGCTAAGACCCCACACTTCCAATGCAGAAGCCTGAGTTTGATCCCTGGTCTAGGAAATAAGATTCCACGTGCTGCGTGGCAAAAACAAAAGAATCAATGAACCCAATCCAATACAGTGTTTACAGTAGGAACACAACACAGGAGAGCTAAGATTACCATCTAGAATTAATCACGGACTTCCCTGGTGACTCAGTGGTAAAGAGTCTACCTGCCAATGCAGGAGACACGGGCTTGATCCCTGGTCCAGGAAGATCCCACACGCCACAGAGTAGCTACAACCTGGGAGCCTCAGCTACTGAAGCCCGAGCACCCTAGAGCCCATGCTCCACAATGGGAGAAGCCACCGCAATGAGCAGCCCTCACACCGAAACTAGAGCAAAGCCCTGAGCAGCACTGAAGACCCAGAAGAGCCATAAATAAATAAAATCATTTAAAATAATAATAATTATGTTGGAGATCAGGAAGACAACAAAGATGCAGTCCCGGTCCTCCACGGAGCCACATTCTGGTGACAACAGATTTGAAAATTCACACAAAAAAATAAAAATCCACTTCCTTACCAGGTATAATAGGATTGAATATCTCTGAGGATCTTGTGGAGTCTCCAAGTCACACTGACAAGGTTTGAAACTAAAGGTAGTGACGTTTTCCCCTTTGGGAAATGGTTCCTGATACTTTCTTCTTTTGCTAGTGCTTCTGATGTTGTTGAAGAATGATAGCTCTCTGCCCTCTTAGCTTCTGCAATGGCTCAGTGGTTTAAAAAAAAAAAAAAATCTGCCTGCAATGCAGGAGACGCAGGCTAGACCTTTGGGTTGGGAAAACTCCCCAGAGAAGGGCATGGCAGCCCACTCCAGTATTCTTGCCTGGAGAATCCCATGGACAGAGGAGGCTGGTGGGCTACAGTCCATGGGTCGCAAAGAGTTGGACACGACTGAGCACGAACGCACCTCTCTGCTCTCTATAACAGAAAG